CATGTGTTCTCAACTCAGCATTTAAGGACTGTCTTTTGTCTTTGCTCTGCAATTCCTGAGAGAGGAATATAGCTTGGCTGAAGCAGTTGAGCATTTTCAAGGTGGGTTTTGGTAATATTACGTGTGTGTTGTAAATGTAAAAGGTGACCCATCATATTTGAATGTGACTGTTCTAAGCAGGACTCCTGGTAAAGTTCTCTACCCACGTATTTTTGGTACAATGGCCTGTTGAAAAAAATCTTTAACTTTCAAACATGACAAGCTTCACTAGTAACAGACCATAAAAGGAGAAAGTAGTAATTTATCAGTACAGTTTAAATGAAAAGTAAATGTTTTAAAACATGAAGATTGTTATTTTTTTTCCACTTTTGGATAGTAGGAACAAGTTACACAAAGAGAGGGAATGTATTTTTATTAGTTCAGGGGAAGGATTCCTGAATAGCAGAGGGAGGTGACTGTCGCCCTGAAAACTAAACCTTCTGATCTTGTTTTCATAGTTTTAGTTACTTTCCCAGGAAAGTAACTGTAAACATAAGTGTTTACACATTCCTTCTAAGAAATGTCCTTTGATGGACATTTCACATGACCAGTGTGACTGGGAAGGTCGTAACTTAGTTATCCAATCCCTGCTCATTGTCAAGAATCTATAAATACTGGAGCCAAAAAATAAAGTTACTTCTTTTCCTGTCATACCACTGAGACATGTTCGTGTGAATCATTCCATGTCCTTTAGTGACAGGTGACACCTTTACTAGTCTCTGGATTGCCGGGAAGAAGGTGGAATTCTGTTTTCTAAGGAATTTAAACACCAGCCACCTATACAACTTGAACTAATCTGAATTAGGTCTCCGACTCTCTCAGAAGTTTTGATCTTGAGAGTAAGTTCTTCTAAGGAGCAAGGCTTTTGAAGTGAGAAGAGGAAAATAGATCTGCTAAGGTTGAAGAATTCTGTATGCAACCCTACCAGATAATGTAAATATGAACTAGTAGGCTCTTTTCAAGTCTTCAGAGATCATCCCTGATTTCTGGAGCTTGTAGTTAACAAAAAAATGGCTGAAGGAAACACCTGTTTTAAACCCAAGGTGGAAATATGTAACAACTTCTACAAACTGCCTTGTCATTTATGTTGATGTGCAAAGAATAAAATGGTGTGTCTGTACTGGTGAAAAATATTAACTAATCCTGAAGAACAAGATTTGCTGCATTGGAGGAAGTTTTAAGGAGCACTTAGGCACCAGCTAAAGTGAAGTTCCACCGTCTCCTGTTGCTAGATGATATAGTTGTCCTCCCATTGTTGCATTAAAGGTCTGTTTGCATTATAATAGGCTTTGGAATTGCTCAGACCAGGTAAATGTTAATCTCTTCTGTAAGGTTTCTGAATTTAAGTGGTTTCATGTTCAGAGTTTCTTCTCATCTGCAGTAACTATTGCTTACGCTTACTTGAAATGTCTGAACTTCAAAACTGCATGAGATTTCTGATGTATTAGCATGCAGAAGAATCTTAAAGTCACTGAAGGCAAAGAACAGGTACTTGATGCAAGAATTTTTGGTATTAAGAGAACACTTTCTTGTGGAGGAGAAGAAAACACAATGTGCTACATTGCATGGGAATTACATTGTATTGAAATACTGGAAGAGTGTACCCAAGAAGAGCTCAAGCTTCAAGGATGAACATGTAAGGTGATTTGTGAGGGGAAGACACTATTTTACATAGATGGTTGCAAAACCTTTTGTATGCAATGGATTCAAAGGTATATTAAAAAAGCTGAATGATTTGATATTGATGAAAAAAAAGTATGTAGTTGCAGCACAAGGATAGAAGTTCTGAATACTGGAAAATAAATCACAGCTCTATCTTTTGTCCTTGATTTTGTCCACCATCAGAGCAGTTCTGAATTGTTCTGTTCTCATCAGGCAGAAAGTTTGTGTGAGATACAGTTGCTCTTAGTCAGCCCTTCAGGTTGGACTCTGTGTAACTGTGCAGCAGGAAGCCTCAGAAATTGGTTCTTGAGTCTTATTTATCAATTCTTTGCTTTGTAAAATGCTGGTTCTGCTTGCCTTCCTGTGGTTGTGAAATGAGGACAAAAAATAATCTTTACAGTGTGCCTTGCTAATTATTTATGCAAGGGTATTTGTAAATACTGACTATTCACTTTGTTCAATGTCTGAATGATGTTCAGGCGAAGTCCAACTAGATCTTCAATTTGTTGTCATTGTACCTGCCTTCTCTCAGTGAGACAAACATTGTTGAATTCTATTTTTCCATTGACTAGAACTGTTTAGGCAGTCTTTCCTTTTGTTTTCTGTTGTCCAGGACCAAGCTTACGGTGCTGAAGCCTTCCATGGACATACCTACAGAAAGGTTTTGGTCCACTGGCAAGGAAAGGAGTGGGTTTGTAAAGTCATAGGCTGCAGATATCAGCATTCAGCAGTTTATAAACCTTCAGATATAGAGTAGGAACAAAACAGCTTGTGGTATCAGAACAAATAGTTGGCAAACCTCAGTTTGTTTGCAGGTTATGTATTAGTGTTTCAAAAGCTTTGTAAAGAACACTTTGTTTTAAATAAAGGAGTCAGTTATTGTTCTAATAGCTAGACTAGTAGTAGCCACTGCTTATCTTCTCAGGAACAGCAACATTGTAAGATAAGCTTAACTAGGGTGCCTTAGCATCAATGTGGATTCCTGCTGGAGTGAACCTTTCACCTCTTTTCCACTCCATCTGAGGTCTCCCAAAGCTGCATGTTCTCACTGCTGCCTGTCTTAGCACAAGCCAGACTGATGTGTCTGAGGACTGCTTTTGGGAGGAAGGGGGCAGGCTGTTTTTCGCATATGCAGGTTGGTGCACTGTCCCTGGCATGTCAGTGTGAACACAGTGGAAGGCCTGGACTCACCTTTTTTAGAATGAGCCTGCACACGGGTGATCTTGGTGATTATGAAATTACTGCCTGTAGACTGCAGTGGAATATTTCTGCAGTAGTGCTTTTATCTTTGTAACTTCTGCCCAATTTTCCAACTAGAGCATGCCTTATCATGATCAGTTTAGAATCATGTGATATGTGTGTGTAGTAGGTGAGTCCAGGCTTAAAAGTTCAGCACTTAACATGGACAGTTGCCACCCAGGAAAGAGATTTTTGAGTTTACGATACTGTTGTGAAAAGCACAAGCTGAGCACTTTGCAGCAATCAAAACTCCGCAGAGTGTAACCAATTCTCAGGAAAATAATAGGCAAAAAAATATAAGGCATTTTATATAAATGCCTCAATATTACATCTACCCTTTAAGTGCTGCATGCAGCATTTCACTTCTCTTCCCCTTCAGAAAGGATGCAGAATTGTATTACATGCAGGCATGGTAGCAAAGGTAGTGTCATGGAAGGGCGTGTTCTGGAGACTGATTTCTAACTTCTCTGTAACTATTACGCTTGTTAGTGCAGCATGAGTGCATAACAACTGTTAATTTATTCATATCACAGTAATGTAAGGAAGTTTGTGAATTCACATGGAGAGACAAGGCAAGAGTAAGGATGACTGTGTCCAATAGTATTGATCCTACACGTTGTCAGCGTTTTGGGACTGAGTTTCCTTATGCAGGAGGAATATCTCTATTTTTCCATTTTCAAAACCGAATGCTTTGTGTCTCTGTAAATTCAAGCTTTTTAAAGTATGAAGATGGAGAACTTACATATGAGGAGTCTACATGGTTTGGCTGAAGAGGCCTAGTGTATGTATGAGTTTATAATCGGGACTCAGAGCTGCCTTAGTCTAGCTTACTGTAAGGCCACCTTTACTTGTACATGCATCTCTCTCTGCTTTTCTGCAAGCAAAGAAATCCCCTGTTAGCTCTGTGTCCCAGCCCCTCTGTTCTGTGGTACCATGTAAGCCAGTTAGTGCAGTACCTGAATGCACATCCTTTTCTTATATGGCAATGCTTAAAATGTATGACACTGTTAAGGGGGAATGGTGACCCAGGCAGAATTTGTAGCAGACTGGCATAGCAACTTTTTACAAAGTTGGTCTGATACCTGTTATGGGAAGAGCTCAGTTCTCTGAGTTCTCTGTTTGTGGGCTGGCATGGATGGAAGAGGGCTGTAAAGATGTTTATATAGTCTGAGCTCCCTGAAAGTCAGAAGTCTGCTTTGGTGAGCATGAACTAAAAAGTTCAACTGTTGAACATAATCCTAAAGTTTAAATTCTGTTTGACAGCCCCTTTCCTCTTAACAGGTACTTGGCAGACTAAATTGCTGTCTGGGTTAAATGGCTCCATCAGTATTCCATCTGATGCGGTGAAACTACTCTGAGTGTTCTTGTATACACCTTTCATACCCATACCGCCAGACAGTAACGTCACAGGCTTGTTTGTTTCAGAAAGGGTTGTTCTAACTGGGATGTAATGAAAGGATGTTGTAAACACTATTATTTATTTTTGAAGCAGGATTCTCTGAAATCTGATCTGCACACCTAAGATTGCTCTTCCATTTGCTTTTCTGCTGACTTCAACACTTCTAAGAAGGAGGTGTATATGACACAAGTTAGCAGGATTTTTGAAGCATGGCTGTCTGAAGCACTTAGATGAAATCTTGCGGAAGTTATTGAACAGAGTTGTGTTTTGTAGAGGATTTCTGTCCCGAGTTGTCATGATTCTGGGATCAGTTATCTTTGGAGCCTGGCTTTTCTGGAGAGAGGCAGATGATATGAGATGATATGAGTGAATATGAGAGTACCTTGCAGAGGACTGTTTCTGCCTGTTTCAGGTGGGGAGTCATGTTCACTTGACAGCTGGCTCAAATTGGAGTAATTCCTATTTCTAATGTTCTGGAAGAGCAGATGGGAGGTACAGTGAAGTCCTTGGGGTCTCAGTTTTACTCTTAACCATGCTACTGAAGGAGCCTACATTTTCTTCATTCTTTTACTTACATAATTGTAGGGTAAGAAAGAAAAAAGAATACATGGAAGTGTGAGACGGTTATGAAGCCTTTAGAGACAATAGAAGTTTTACAGACCACTTTCTTCTCTCAGAGGATGCCAGCCCCCATCAGACTGCGGGAGTTGATCCGGACCATCCGGACAGCAAGAACCCAGGCAGAAGAGCGTGAGATGATTCAAAAGGAGTGTGCTGCTATCCGGTCATCCTTCCGAGAGGAAGATAACACATACCGATGCAGAAACGTGGCAAAGCTGTTGTATATGCACATGCTGGGATACCCTGCACATTTTGGACAGGTAGGTTAAAATTCAGTGCATTCTGTGCATAAGCCAGTCTGTCTTCTGTGGTTTGGGCACATTGACTTGTTCAAAGCATTCCTATGTGCAGTTCTGCTGTCTGTCAGGATGTTTTGAGGTCTGTTTTCATGTGTGTTCTGAACCTATGTTAGTTAGTTTAGACTTTGTTAGTGAGGTTTGCTCCTTTGGGGCTTACATATTTTGTTTTGAAACTTGAGGTTAGTCTGCTTTTTCCATACTTTCTCTTCACCATCCATGTTTCTGCAGAGCAGTTATGCTTAAATCACAGTCCAAGACATAGGGATATTTTTAGATTGGATCAAAATAGCACTTTGGAGTTCTGTCTCTGAAAAATACCACATACTTCAAAGGAGGTCCTATACTGTTTTCCTTATAAAGCAATGCACTTGAGACAGAAAAGAGCTGGTCTGTTCCTGGCAATCAGAAGTTGGTGTTCCTTATCCCCATTTTAGTGAGGTGACATGGAGAATGCAGGTGTGAGTTTTCCATCTCTTGGCTTATTTTTGATGTGCTGTTTTTGACAGAAATTTTAGGAAAGGGAGACAGGAAGATGGAAGCTCTTGATCTACAAAGTGTCCCTCAGGTTAGCTTTGCTTTGTCTTTTTGGCATAGTCAGTTTTGCTTAGAAATCATTAAGTGTCCTGTTAATAGCAGTCGAACATAGGTCTTCACTAAAATTTAAATCAGTCAAATTGTTGTGTCCCTTCAAGTAACTTCGTGTCCTGTGTGTCTATCCATTTGTGGTTGGATTTACCAATCCTAATACATCTCACTGAAACAGTAAGCTCAAACCAGTGAATTCAAATTGCAGATAGAGCTAGGATTAGTGAGTCTGGGCTTCATGTGTTATAGCACATGAAGTGCCTTATCTTACTTCTATATTATTGGATTCTTCTCTCAGGGTAATGAGTTTTTGGAAAAAAGCAAGTGAATTTGTGTATTATTCTGTTCTTAATACTTGTCATAGAGGGGTTCCCTGGTCCAAGAGAGAAACTTCCTGTCACAAAAATTAAGGCTAAGTATCTTGGAGCCTTAAGAATAATAAAAAGTGTTACAGATAAGTGTCATCTACAATTTCAATGTTTGGCCTGTGTTAAGAACATTACTTAAATTTCATTCTTCTCTCTTGTTACTCAAGTATTTAATCCTATACAAGGGAGATTATAATTTACCGTTTATTTTAATAATTTAATTTACTATTGCTAATGAAATTTACTAATTTACCATTACAAACTAAAGCAGAAATTTTCAGTTTCTGCTTTGGTTAGTAATGGTAAATTCACTGTTCATAAAAGAAGGCTAAAGCAGATTGTTCACTCTCCAGTATTGCCAGGCTTGCTACATCTCAAAAAGAAGCATCTATTCTGACTATTTGGGGAGCAGGGTACTTCATTCAGTGCCCTTGGTTCTCTTGTAATTTATCAGCTGCATTTTGAGGAGGGCATAGGGCCCAATACGGAAAAGGGGTTTTTAACCACGTATTCTCTAGGTGAGTGAGTTAGAGACCTTTGCATGTCCTTAACACTTACTGCTAGAAGGAATCTTTCAAGGTGTTGCTGTTATGTAGGAATATAGTTTGTGTGAGCTGGGGAACCTGTTGAGGACGCAGGCTGTTTCAGCAGTGCAGTATTGCAGATAGATGGTCCTGCACTGTAGACTGGAAGCTTCTGAGAGTGACAGGATAAATATGCAGGGAAGATGTTTTGCTGAAAAACAGGAGAGCCACAAGTGGTGTTACAGTCTTTCTTAAAGCTGAAAGCAGACTGCTGCTAGCAGTGTGGGTAGCCAGGAGTGAGTGGTCAATCTACTTCTGTCCAAGCTGGGGCTCCTCGACTTTGACCTAGGGTATCTTGTACACAAGTATGAGACTGAGCACCATATTTAGCCAGTGCATGCTGATATGCACTGGATGGCATGCTGCCTCCTCAGCATGTGCAAAGGCCCTTTGTGCAAGTTTAGAAGTCATCAGACAGCCTAGACAAATGGTTAAATAACCTTATTATTGTCATTGTTTCTATTTGAAAAAAAAATCCTGTTGGAAGAGTGGCTATGTCAATAAAAGCTGGGTCAGTTGTAGTCTGGTTACATGCCAGTAGTATCTGTTACAGTAGTGGTGTAGCAGATTTTAATTGTTCCTCTGAATGAAATGGATTTAACGGTATCAAGATTTCTTCCACCAATTACACCTAGTAAGAGCTTCAGCTGATCATATTTCTTAGTACTGCTATGCATGAATCTAGTTTGCATGTATTTATGTACAAGTGAAACAAGAAATAATCAGCCTTTCATGGGGTGAATTTCACTAATGTCTTTTAAATTCAAAATATAGTTACTAGAAATATACTATATATACTATACATACTAGAAATATATCTTAGAGTAACTGTTGAAGTCATCAGTTTCCTTATGCTCTTCCTCAGTCATTCATCTTACGGGTAAGAGCCAATGAAGGCGTAGCTTAGATGTCCTCAATTTTATGTTGCATTTTTGCAGAGGATTGTCTAAGTATTTTGTAAACCCAGGAAAGAAGGTTGTTTCAGAAGTGCATTATTGTTTTACAGAAAGCACTGGAAACATGAGAGCTTGCTATCTAGGGTTCTGTTATCTCTGGCTGATCTTGAGCATTTGTGCAAATTCAGTTATCTTTGCAGAGGACTGGTATTATTCAGAGGTGTTTATTCAAAGTTTTCTTTCCTTTTAACCTTGCAGGCTGAACTCAATTTCTTGCAAGCCTTTTCTTACAAATGTGTCACCCTTGCACTAGCTGGGCTTTCATATATGACAACATATACAGTTGAGTGTGTGTTCTAATGCCATGTGGTCATGAGAACTTGCAGGACTGGGATGAGGCCAGAGCACTTTATTTCTCTTCTTACCAATACACTGTGCAACTTTACTGTCATGATATGTGTTTCTTGCATCTCACCTGTGTCTGTTGCTCTGTTCAAGCTTCTGTCTAGCTGGGGCCATGAATCCCTTTTCCTGACACTGCGTATCTTTGCTTGTGCATGCCCCCTTTACGATGGATCTGTTGCTAGCTCTGTCTGACCCCTCCTATTGTGTATGCTTACATGCTGCCCCAGGTAGTTTATAAAGCAGACTTACTGAAACTGCTTGTGAGGGATAGATCTCTACTTTCCTGACAGGAAAGTAGAGATAGTTTTCTGTAATAGGTAACTAAACAACTATATATATATAGTTAATCTATTTTAGTGCATAGAAATGTCAGAATATCTCTGTGGTTATTGGTTTTTGTTTTTCATTATAAAAATGTCAGATGTAAAAATGAGGTAGCAATTATATTTTAAATAAGCAGAGTGCAGGTGGAAACTATATATATTGTCTTGGGAATCTCTTCTGTTCTGTTTTTCACAGTTGCCATTTCTACAGGGGGAAAAGGAAACTTGTAGTGTCTGGAATGCACATGATTTTAGTAAACTTCACGTGTTCCAGAGATTACAGAGAAGTGCAGGAATGTAACTATCTCTGACAATCAATGTTTTACCTAGCTAGTAAGTTACTTACAGATCATAATAAACAAAACTTGGTTTTAGAGTCATAGAATCCTAGAATGGTTTGGGTCGAGAGATCATCTAGTTCCAACTGCCATGGGCAAGGACACCTGGTAGTCCAGGTCGCTCTAAGCCCAGTTCAGTCTGGCCTTGAATACTTCCAGGGATCCAGGGACAGGTACAGCTTCCCTGTACCTGTGCCAGGGCCTCACCATGCTCACAGTTGAAAATTTCTTCCCAATATCTCATCTAAACCTTCCCATTTTTCCATTTGAAGTCATTACTCCTTGTCTTATCACTGCATGTCCTTGTTTTGGCAGCTTACAGAGCACTGATCCTCTTCCCTGTAGATAAATGGAACCTTTTAAGTCTAGTTTAAAAGTTTTGTGTGCATATCAAACATGACACATGATCTAGATTTCCATATCTTTACTATTTTGTGTTTAGTGATGTATCTTTCATCTCTATCAATGTGTTATCATTTACTTTGTGATCTGACATTAACTCACATATTTGGTATATCTGAGGTCATGGAAGACCAACAGTGTCTGGCAACTTCAAGGCACCGGTGCTGTTAATGACCTTCCTGCTGGCTTTGTTGGAACTTTGGGCAGGTCATTTAACCTTTCTTGGTTTTCCACATCACCAAAATGGGAACCAAATACACCTTTAAAAGTGCATTCTGAGATACATACATAACTATGCATCAAAACTCAAACTGTTTCTTCTATAGCTAAGAAGTAGTTTAAAGCTAATTATGTCTTCTTTTTCTTCTTTTTTTCCTTATTTTTTTCCAGTTGGAGTGCCTCAAGCTTATTGCATCTCAGAAATTCACAGACAAGCGCATTGGGTATTTAGGTGCCATGTTGCTGCTGGATGAGAGACAGGATGTTCATCTTCTTATGACCAATTGCATCAAGAAGTAAGGGTACCACGTCTCCATCAAACCATGCTTTTTGAGGTTTCAGTATCAGAAAGTATCCTTCTGCAAGTGATACTTAGTACTTCAGGGATTTTCCCTTGTGTTAGAAAACTGTTACCTTGAAACTGTTGTATGCTGTTGACCATAATAAGGCTGTTGTAGTAGTGCTCTGTATTGGGCCGTACTGTTTAGATTCTTTACTGGGAAGAGAATATAAAATTGCATTGGTTTTGAAGAGGCATATGTGGCAAGCAACACATGTCCTGTGTGCGTTTGTTTGCTTCTGCTGACAAGCTCTGAAGAGTTGTCAGGGAACAAGGCTATGTATCTTGTTTTATTTTTAAAATCTAATGATCCTGACAAATGGTTTTCATTGGAAGTAAGGCAGCAGCTTGGGATGTGCTGTCATGTTGCTGAAATCAGACAAGAGGTGGTGGGAATTACTATTTTTTTAATACTTCTCTCAGAAAAGCAATGTTGAAGTGGGCCTTTTTGCATCGTAGTTTAGTGGGCAACGATGATTGTGTTTCCTTTTCAAGATGGATTGGAGCAGGTATGGAACAGCTGGGTTCTAGTTGACCTACCCAGAGATTGCGTGTGATGTACCTGTTTTTATTATTATGTACTGTTAGCACATAAGCCTCTCAGATATTAGCAAGTAAAGTATTGATCTTCAATTAGACTGTGGCTTCAAAGTGCTTTGAAAGAAACTTGACAAAACTATGGGCCTGAGGATCTGCAAACTTTGGGCCTAGTGTCCAGGAGACGAGACTTTTGTCTAAAGGTCTTTCATTGAAATGCCATACCTGTGAGATGCTCCCATTAGAACCAGTCCTCAGGTTAACACCTCTTTTAATTGTTCATGCTGTGAATTTGTAAGTGAATTTCGTAAGGGTACAGTGAGTTTGAACTGGAAATTAGTCAGACGAAAGCTGAGCAAAAATGGTGGAAAGCTTCCCACCATCTCCTGGGTTGCATATTGCTTTCTCCTTTGGCTTCTGTATCTGCTGTTGTGTCTTGCTTCTATCTAGATATTAAGGGATGTATTTATGGCATTGTTTTTCACTGCTTCGTAGCACGACCCAGATTTTTGAGATGAAAAGGAAAGCAACCTCTTGAAGCATGTACTTGTGATACACACAGCCTTATATAGCTGCCAAAAATTGTTAAAGGAAGGAAATGAAAAAACAATGTATTTAGTAGCATTTAGTAGTGCTACCTGTTCCTCCATCAGCATGTTGCCATAATTGCTTCATGTTACAACCAGGATACTGTTTTTCCATTCTGCCCCTCTTGGGTGTTTGGTTAGGAACCACTTCTTTCCCCAGCTCTTCCATCTTTCAGTCCCCAGCTCCCCTTGCCTCCCAAAGCAGGAGCTGTATTTTTTACTTTCTTCATCATTGAATTCTGGGTGCTGTCGCAACCTTAGTACCAAACACAGATGGAAAAGTGGTGTAGAAGTCAGTTTTGAAGTTCTGTTGGGATTGCCATGTAGAAGCTGTGTTGTCTTGTGCTTAGTGTGCCATTGGTAGCTAACCTTATGAGTAGCATCTTCTGTTAGGTAGTTTAGCTTCTTAGTGAGCACTTTTCACAACTTCCTTAGGCATATGAATAGGAAAAATTGCTAAACAGAAATCTTGTATGGGTTACTTTCAAGGTGTGTGAGTGGTTGGGTTTGTGGTTTTTGGTGAGGATGGAGGATATTTTTACACAGATTTTTCTATACTGTTTGGTTTGTAAATGCAAAAGCTAAAGCTTGCTGTAGAACATCTTAAATGCGGACAGCCCACAGTGTCACTGCAGGTCTATACTTTGCATGCAAGTTCCAAAGCTAAAACCATTTTAAATGGAATTCTCTATAGTCTCCCCTCTTTCTCAGCTCAATCCCTGGATACCCTGACAGGTCACCCTGATAGCTGAACCAAGTATTTTATCTTTTTAATTCTGAATTCTAAGTAGAATTAGTAGCAATCCCTGTGGTACATGCACTCAAAGCTTCTATTGCTCCCAAGTCGTGTTCCCACACAGCTGTGAATCCAGAAAGTTGTTTGTTGCTGTGTGGGCCATGTGTTGCTGGTTAGATGACTCTAGCTATAGATACCCTTTTTTGTGTGTTTGGTTTCTCTGTGTGCATGCTGATTGACTTTTTTTGTTCTCCTTTACAGTGACCTTAATCACAGCACGCAGTATGTGCAGGGGCTGGCACTTTGTACTCTTGGCTGCATGGGCTCCTCAGAAATGTGCAGAGACCTTGCAGGAGAGGTGGAAAAGCTCCTCAAAACTTCCAATTCCTATCTTAGGAAGAAGGTACTTCAGGAAACTTTTGAATAGTTTGTTATGGATTAAAAGGCAAGATTGATTGCATACTTTTCTAATATCTGGAATTCTAGATGACTGAGATGACACTGAGTGAATATCTTCCCAGTGTGCAAGACAGAGCTCAAAACTCCCTCTCTGTTGATAGCAGGAATGCATGTAAGCCTCTAAAAGATAAGCCTCCAATTGGCGAGGCAGTTGCTTCTATTTTTGTACTCTCCCCTAATGTTATTTGTGGTAATGTGAACAACTGCCCCCTCATGGAGGTTTGCCTCAAAATTCTGGTCACCAGTTTTATTTGTCTTCTCAGATGAGTCCAGAGAAACTCTGGTTATTAACAGTGCAGGCTGGTATAAGAAGATTTGAATCTATTTGATGTCTTCTGTTGATGATGGTGACAGTAGAATGAGAGCTGGAAGGGTTAAGGTCTTGAAATGGACAAACACTTATAAATTGTCTTGTTTTTGCAGCAAATGTGCCATAGCATCAGCAAAGTGTGATCACCCCCATTCTTTTAGATTTCTTTATTGCTAAGTCTTGGTGAGAGTGTGGAACAGTAAGATTTAGGAGGAGATGCATTGTTACTTCTTTGTCTAGTGCTGAATCTAGAGAGAGTTTGGAGAGAAAGCAATGCTAAGAGGTCTTGCTGTGTTCTGGAAAGAGGCGCTTGATTTTCAGGCAGATGCAAGGAATAGTATCTGCTGTTGCTTCTCCATCCTAGGCATGTGCTTTTTCAAAAAGGCCTGGAAGTGTAGTTTTGTTTCTCATAGCACCCATCATCTGCAGGAGGAAGTTGTTTTTTGGGGAAGGAGGGAAAGTAAATAAGCCATAATTTGACAGTAAGTTTAATTATTTGTTTCCAATGCTTATCTCCTTCCCAGCAACGGGAAGACAGGCTGAAGTTAGCCCTATTAAAGGCATAATTGCTTTGCAGATAATAGCACTACTTCTGTGAATAATGTGAAAATTAACTAGGGGGAGTATTAGCTTGTAGTTCAGTGCTCCCCCTTTATTCAGCTCTCTTCTGGAATGCTGTTTACTAACACATGTAATAGAGAGATGGAAAAATGTGCCATATACTTTGCAGGCCTTTGTTTATCATGAAGATTGTTATAGTTCCCTTTGTGCTAGATATTCCCAGAACAGGTATTGTTGTCATTGCAGTGTGTATTAACAGAAGTGTTTTTCCTATCCAGGCAGCACTGTGTGCTGTTCATGTCATCAGAAAGGTGCCTGAACTTATGGAGATGTTCCTGCCAGCCACCAAAAACTTGCTGAACGAGAAGAACCATGGTAATAGCCAAGACTGTACTTAGCAAGGCTAAGCCATTTTCTAGAGGATAGTTCATTTGCTACCTAAGCCTTTCATTTGGAGGGAACTCCAGAGGTTTATTTGTATGATTTGTTTCTTTCCATTTCTACACAGTGAATGCAAATGTCATTTAGAAGGAAGGGATGTGTATGACTCTGCTAGTCAACAGGATTTTAATATGGCATAGGTGACAAAAGGAGCTCTTTCACTGTGTTTTGATACACTTCAGATTGGGTGAAATGGGAAAGTTTGATTTTTATCCTGTACACTGCCTAAAGTGACTCTAAGGCAGTGACTTCTTAGGTTTGGAGTTTGGTTTTTTTTTTGTGTAATCTTTCTTTAAATAGAGTTCTGAGTCCTCCTGAGGAAGGTGACATAAGGTCAGCTAGGCTACCCAAATCAGAAGAGAATATCAAGAAGTATGAGGAACTTGACACCCACAATGCAATTGGCACATACTGTCCTTCTGGAGTCTTATATTTGTATAAAATCATAGAATGGTTGGTTTTAGAAGAGATCTTAGAGGTCAGTAGCCTAACTGCGACCATTACTGTATGTTTAGTATTTGAGTTTCTGTAGACCAAATCAAATTTATCTTCTGCTTTGGCCTTTAATTGCAGCTTTAAGACATGAGCACATCACTGTCTGCTTTCCCTTGGACACACCTGCAAGCACAAATGTCTGTAGTGATAGATAAAATATGTTGAATTCAAGAATATTTTTTTAATGATTTCCTGTTGTTCTCTTGTGATCTTTATCAAATGTCTGGAGCCAGTGGAATGGTGTTAAATGGAGATACATTTTTCTTTCCCACCTTCCTCACCTTTAGGTGTTCTTCACACATCAGTTGTCCTCCTCACAGAGATGTGTGAGAGAAGCCCAGACATGCTTGCACACTTTAGAAAGGTGAGTGTGAACTGGTAATATTGCAAAGTTAATATTCATGGCCTTCTAGTAAAACCCTTAAAATTGTTTGGGTGAAGAATTTAATGCTACTGTCTGTTTGCTAAATTTTTTTAAAAAATCATTCAATGTGGGAATTTTGTGAGTATCTAGGCCTAATCCCTTTCAGTAAGTGTTTAAGTTACAAAACATCAGTCTTAAGATTGCGCAGTATAAAGCTCATCCTAGAGTTGGATTTAAAGTCGTCTATGATAGTTCCATAGGTTTTTCCCCACTCCTCGTATCTAATTGCATAGTGACGCTGGAATCACAAATGAAGTAAACATAGAGACAAAGATGAAAAACTGAGGCTTATACCAACACCTGAATGCCTTAACCACAGCCACACAGTTATATACACACGTTCAAAAACATCAATCTGAATTCTAGTTGTATAGATACCTCATGCCTGGTGCATGCTGTGCTGCACAATTTTCCATTTTAACTTAAGGGTTTTAGAGTCAATGTTGCTTTTCCTTCTCTGGTTAAGAATGTTTGCTTCCCATCGCCCTCCTGACTTCCTTATGCTGTTCGCTGTAATTTACTCTATTATTACCATGTGAAAGATTACCGATAGAAGGGCGTCTGAAAATTGCCTTGATTGTCATTTTAAGTTCTTTGTCAAAAAGGAGAAATTGAACAAAGCTGGTAGAACAGAGAAGGGCATTTGCTCCTCTGAAAAGTCTTAAAGGTGTTTGTTTATTTGCATGCCCAGTTTACTTTCTCCTTTGACTTGTCTATATCATTAGGGATTTAAAACTGTACATCCTTTGGTGTATCTTAGCATTTTGACATGCATCTTCCCTTGCCTTGATTGTAAATGTCAAAGCATGAAAAAAAGATGAGATTCATTTTGCAGGTACCATCCCTGCTACTAATTGCTCAGTTAATGTGATAGTTGTGGGAAAAGAGATAAGAGCTCAGTCCACAAAATTTGTTGTGCATTCTTTCTAGCTATTTCTTGTAGTTATGCTGTGAATGGTATAACATTGAACTGTCCCTAACGCTTGCTTCGTCTGTTTTGTCCCTTTTGTCTGTTTGGCATCCTGCTGAGTTAGAATGAAAAGGTAAGAATTAATTTTTCTAGATGATGCATGTTTGCCTTGAATGTGTAGATGTTTGTCCCTTGTGGGGCAGTGCCTCTGAATGACACAGTTGTGATTGATTCCACACGTTTACTTGTCTAATGCTCTTCGTGTGCTGGTCTTGTCATTAAACCTGTACATCCATGGCAGCCCTGAATCTCAGTTGTGGCCTTCTGTGAACATCAGCCTGCTTTCCTCAAGCTTTCCCTCATTTGAGGAATACTTTTCAGATTTTTTTTTTTTTTTTTTTTTTTTTTTGTGCCTGCACAAGTTGTTGCCCTGGGCTTTCTTCTTACCACAAATTGGGCTTTGTATTTTGTCTGAATCATGGGGCAAATTTGAGTGATTCCCAGAAGGGAGCAGGACAGACAGTTAGTTAATTGCCTGTAAGAGGCTGTAAAGGTTTTCTGTGCTGCAGAGAGCTATGCAGTTCAGCTGCAGTGCTGATAGTCTTCCTGGGTGTAATTTGTACTCCAGAAGATGGGGGGAGTGGCCCTCAACCATTCTCCATGGCTGTAATGTTTCCCTTTGTTCTGTCCTCAGTCATGATAATTCATGCATGTTGGAAGGCAAAGCAAATGTGAATAAGGGTTCCAGGAATGCTCCATTTGTCTGTTATTGTGTTTGGAGGGAAGATGTTGCAGCACCCTTCAGTTTCCTCTTTAAGGCAGATACAGGAAGTTCAGGGTTCATTTTGTTCGTGTGTTTTATCAAATGCATGTTTTTGGAGAAGTATGTACTTCTGAAGAGCAAAGGTAGGAACAAAAGGAGATGGCAGGAAAACTAGGCTGGTTTTCTTCCTGTACTATAACACAAATGTAGATTAACTACTTTAAAGATAGAATATGCTGCTCTGGTCCCAGCTTAACTGTTTCTAGTTGTGTCTTAGCCAAGCTGTAGGTATTTGTACAGCATCAGCTCTAGGTGTGCAGGTTGAACTTTTTGGAAAAATCCAGCAACTGACTTGCTTTCAAATACAAGATTTGCTCTTGGACCTCTGCTTCAAAGCTGGGGTCAGGGAAAAAACAGTACCCTAATAGGACAACTCTGTTCTTCACAGCTTGTTCCCCAATTAGTTCGTATTCTGAAGAACCTTATCATGTCTGGATATTCACCAGAGCATGATGTGTCTGGGATCAGTGACCCCTTTTTGCAGGTAAGAACTAATGCAAATACTGACTGATAGCTCTAATTCTAGGACTGTATTTTGAGCATTAGGTGTGATGAGGTGGTTACCGCCACACTTGTGTTGATTTTAAGGCTTTCTTAGCCTTCAAGCTGATTGTGCAAATGCTGTTTATCTGCCCTTGTGGAAGACACCTGCCTTAGTTTAACCAGCAGTTGTAGTGATTTATCACATTATGTGACAAAAGAGAGAAGCAGCATGTATTGGTTTTGGAAGGCTGTGCCTGGTAGCAAGGGGCCTCCGAACAGTTCTGGCTAGTGGGAAGAAAATAAGCACAGCAGAAACCTATTTTTGTCAATAAAGTTCTTATCTGGGATAAGCATTTTGCTTAAGAGTGGAAATCAGCGGCTTGTTTTGCTTTTCTACCACTATGAGTCCATGTCAAACACTGCCATCCAAGCTTTTCTTTGCTTTATTTTATCAAATAGGTACGAATCCTGCGATTACTAAGAATTTTAGGAAGAAATGATGATGATTCTAGTGAAGCAATGAATGATATACTTGCACAGGTAAGTCCTGCAAGGTGGATGATTGGTTTAAACTCCCTCTTAATTTCATTATAATTTGGGTTCAGCAGCACTGGTGAGTATACAGCTGCTTGCCATGTGGAGTGAAATTTTCTTGAAAGAGATGCATGTTCAAGTGTGATGCTGTTTTGTAGGGGTTGGTTACTTTCACTGCCTGTTCTGCAGAGAGCAGCACACAGGAGATCTGCTTTAAATTCGTTGAAGTTACTTTGTTTCTTTTCTCCAGGTTGCCACTAATACAGAAACAAGTAAAAATGTGGGAAACGCCATTCTCTATGAAACTGTGCTGACTATTATGGATATAAAATCTGAGAGTGGCCTGAGAGTAAGTTGCCTTTGCTGTGGCCTTTGTTTTTTTCCTAGGATTGTATTAGAGTAATTTATGTGGAGGACATGAAGCAAGATTGTTTCACCATAACACAGCTCTGTGTCTGACTCTAGATAAGTCTGTAGCCTTTGCATAAAGGGTGCTTGTTTTGGGGGGAGGGAGAGTGTTTGGGTTTCTTAAAATAGCAAAAATTAAAAGGCAAAATTTCCTGAGTGTCCTGAATGCAAGTGAGAGCCTGTGATGCATCTCCTAGCATTTCCTTTGCTTAGGCAGCTGCTTGAGTTCTTTTTGACTGAGAACCACAATGCTACTTTTGACATGTTGCCTTTGAAGTCATCATGAAATGATGAAGATGACCAGCAGCCCTTTTAGATTATTGATCTTCCCTAATTCTTTCTGCAGGTCTTAGCCATTAACATCCTAGGCCGTTTCTTATTAAACAACGACAAAAATATTAGGTAAGTTGTAAAAAGTGTGTTTTGACAACACCCAGTTTAAAATGTGTGAGAAGCAATTGCACAAAGATGATGCTGAAGTAAAGCTTTCCAGGAGACCATGTTGGGATCACTGCTTTTGGGGTTAGTGTGGCTGTTGAGCTTGCTTCTTTCTTGGTGCATTCTTTCCTCTATGCTAATCTGAACTGTGGCCCTTCCCTTCTTAGTTGGTAAGTTGGAATGTATGATCTATTTCTCAACATGTGATTTCTTAATCAGATCCATGTTTTTTTTCCTGTCTTACCCCAAGTGGACTGCGGTTATATTCAAATCAGAATTGGCGTTGGAGATCTGACAAATTAGGCAAAGACTGATTTTTCTGATTGTGTCCTGGTGGCAACAAAGGAGTTTAGTTCTGCTCTGGTCACTGTTAATCAGGATTTGGAATTGCTGAAACTGCTAGAATTTAATTCCATCTCTAAGGAGTGGATAGCAAATCATTATATGGGTTTCAGACTCTAGCCCTTGGAATTTTGACTGATGCTATTTTGAATGTAAGATCTGCAGAGGTGCTTGGGACAGGTGCTTGCTTGTCTGGGCAGCAGTGTTGTTGTTAGGCATGTTAAAATTTAGTGTAGTAACTTACCCAGTAAGTCCGCTATAGGATCTCTGTTCTTTACTGAGTACAAGAGAATACTAGTCTGTTGCAAAATAAGACTAGGTTTGAGACAAGGGGACGGTGTCTGTGCACAGATATTAAATGGCTACTGTCAGCTAATGATGACTGTATGTCTTTATTGCAGATATGTAGCTTTGACGTCATTGTTGAAAACTGTGCAGACAGACCATAATGCAGTACAGCGGCACCGAAGCACCATTGTGGACTGCCTGAAGGATCTGGATGTCTCCATTAAAAGGTAATCAGATAATCAGTGAAACAGACTCTTGAGGTTGACTGTCTCTAGAAAGAGAGCAGAGCATAGGGGGAAATGACAATAATCCTGGGGTGCTGTGAGACTACTATGAAGGTATAATATGGTTCCATAATTCAAACAAAATAATAAAGATGTACACCCATTTTTGGAAAGCTGCTGTTACATTTCACAGGGAAAAAATAAATTCTGTTTGCCTGAATTTTTCCAGAATGCAGTATCAGTGGACATTAGATTTGTGTGCTCTCAGTGAGATGGAAAGCCTCTGTGCCCTGTGATTATGATGAAACCTACTCTGATGTGCTCCACATTGGTTCCTTTCTCAGATGAATGGGCAATGCCATGCTGTCTTGAAGAAGTGTTAAGTCATCCAAATAATGTATTCTTAGATATATTTGGCAGTGGTAGAATTCAGACTTGATTGCTCAAAAAAATTGCATACAAACCACATCTTTTTATCATTCTTAGTGTTCATTTGTCATGTAAATAGTTGTGTTGCTGCCTGGAATTGTGGAATTGCTGTTCTTTGGGCATTGGGAAAGCTTGCAACCTTAGTTCTCATTAGAGAAATACTTTTTGTCTTGTTCTCTGTCTATTTGTCTACTCTGTACTATTATTCATGATAGTTACTTTCTCCTGTTTCTGTCACTTGTGGAAATTATTGAGCTGTTTGGTTGCCCAGCCTATGTGGAAGGCTGCTCTTCTAAACAGAGTGTTTCAGGCTGTTGATTCTTTGTTCTTTCTTTCAGAACTTTCCTCCTCCTCATTTTTCTTTCTGTAACTGGGTTGCAAACAAAGTTCTGGGCTCAGTGCAGTGTACAGCATGCAGTGTTGGGCACAGCAGTATTTTTCCTGCTGCATTTTGTAGAGTCTCTCTGCTACAGGCCAGAATTGCCTTGAACACTCGTCACATGAATACAGCTTCAGAATTATTCAACCTCTTCTTTTCCATCTACTCAAACTGATTAGATACACCATTGATCCTTGTTCTGATAGTCATTCTTCAAACTTATGCCTATCTAATCAATCAGCACTAGATTGTTTTAACAGCACTGCTATATACAGACTAATATATCTAAAATGGGAAAGAAATTGGATTTGCCTTGCTTCTGAAACTTACTTTTTAACTGCTATGTAATGGATATCATGTAATCTCGTTTTACAGTTGCAAACTATTCCAAACCACAGATTTGAATCTTAAACGCTGAACAAGTCAGGCTGCTATTGCTGTTTGCTGTCGGAGCCAGCATGGGGCTTGGTTGTAGAACAGCAAAGCCTTGTCTAGGTTTTGGGTAGAGGGCAACAAAAATATTTTATTGCTGACTGCTAGGAAAACACAGGTACGCACAAACAACTTCATGTCTAAGCTTCATGTCTAAGTGCTGTTGGAGGATGAAGCCTTTGAGTGATCCATCAGCAGAGCATGATGTTGCCATGCTGACACTCGTGCTGCTGACAATGCACTGTCTTCATTGGAGCATTGTATTGACTGGATATATGTCAGAGTCCCCAGGCAGCAAGCTTCAAGGACTTGAGGGAAAGACATGATACCTGGTTTTGGTTATCTGAAGCATGGACTCTGCTCATCTTCTTGTAACTGGTGCAGTTCCTCTTTGGTCCATATAGGGTAATTCAGAATGGCTTTGCCATTTAATTAAAGTCTTTCTGTCTGCTTGATTTGATTAAATGACATGATTAAGAGCTTTGTGACAGAAATAAAACATGTAATATGACTAAAGGTAAGCAATATATGCTGAGGTAAATGCCTGGTATGAAGACCAAATGGTACTCTCCTGTGCAGCTGCAGTATTGATATATTCTAAACATAATCATGGAAAACATGTAACCCTTTAGGGTCGGGTGTAGTAGAGTTGGGAACTAGTTGGAGAGATGGAAACAGTTCTAATAATGGTATAGGTCATCAACTAAACACAGATTTAAATGTTAAAAGGTAGCACTTTAGTTGGATATTTCCAACCTGATTCTGAACACCTCTGTATTTTTCAGTCCCTTGGTACTAGCTGGGTAAAAAGCAAAGTAACACATTTACAATTCACCATTCTGTAAAAATCCTTATTACTATAGTAACTAGGAAAATCTAGAGAAGTAGTGTTGTCTAGATGTTTTCAGATTCTTGAGAACAAATAGCATGTGCCCAATACCATTTTAAAATCCAGTGAGGGTTATTTAGCGAACCTGTTTTAATGCATTTTAATACAGCTGCTGCTAAGTTATGCAGAAATCAATCACATATGAAGTTAGTAGTCTTCATCCAAAAAACGACAGAAGAACAAGAGATCTGTGCTAGAAACAACTACAGAAACTTGAAATAGAAAGGCCTGTGAGTAGCCTCTAAGCTCTCAATGTGTACAAAAAGGAATAGCAGGGAGATAGTAGCCTGACTAGTTTTGGTGTCAGCACGTCTGTGGTGAAGAGGAATGAACAGCACCAGGGTAACTTGGGATTCTAGAAATCTTACATAGTTTATCCAACTGGATACAGTAAAGCTTCTCAGTTAATATCTTAAATCTCTACTGTGTTTGAATGTCTAATATATGGAATTGGAAAGAGGTCTGTTCTGGATCCCTGAAGCTGGAGAAAGTGTGTTGTGGCATGTTTTAATTGTTACAGTTGTGTGTCAGAAAAGACCAACATTCAGTTACACTTGAACAGTCAGACTTTAATCCCAGTGGACTCTGGCTGCTGAAAGATACTGTGAGCCTTAAGCTGTCTTTAATGTATGGATAGATGTTTCTAGAACACCCCATAGCCCCCCACTCCCCCTTAATTTTTTGGAGGGTGGATGTTTGTCTGCCTATGAACAAAAAAATAACGCATATTAAATGTGGAGGGCTGTTATCACAGGATTTGTAAGTATTGATCTCTTCTTAATTAAAAGGTAACTGCATTTTTGTAGCTGGATTTGGGGATTTTTTACTTCCTTCACTAGGTGAACTTACTTGTTGGTTTTCCATCTCTTGCCCTAGGCGTGCAATGGAACTGAGTTTCGCTCTTGTTAATGGGAACAATGTCCGTGGAATGATGAAGGAGTTACTGTATTTCCTAGATTCTTGTGAACCAGAGTTCAAGGCAGACTGTGCATCTGGAATATTTCTTGCAGCTGAGAAGTATGGAGTTGTTTTAATTGCTAATTATTTTTGGTACATCCTTGGGATTGTAAACATCTTGTGTGTTGTTTCTCTCCCTGCTTGCTTCCAAGAGAGAATGTGTTGATTCATTTCTTCTCTGTTGACTGATTTATGTGTGGGTTGTCAGTTTTAGCCCTCCTTCAGTATTGATGTCCTTCCTCACGAAGCAGAGGGCCAGGAAGTAACTGAAAGGGGAGATTCTGATGATGGTGAGCTTCTTGCTGGTGTTGAAGACTGGCGGTTATTGCTCTAACTTGTTTTCTTAATTTTGTCAGATATGCTCCCTCCAAGCGCTGGCACATAGACACAATTATGAGAGTCTTAACAACAGTAAGTGAAATTGCCTCTCTTGTGTATGACTACATAAAATTTTTTTAATTCTGGTGGAAGTTACCATCAAGTTGGAGATGGTTCTAAAGGCTGGCAGCTAACAAATGCTAAAATACATAGAGGAAATGTACTTTGGATAATCACACTTACTGAGTTTACATATTTCTGACAGCCTTCCATCCCTGAGTGATTTTTTAGAAGAACTGTACTATTTCAGAAGCACACAAGAGTAGCAGTGTTTCTACTGCAGTAATCACATTAGGTTTCTAAGGACAACTCTTGTACTAGCTGATTCCAATATACAGTCCTTTCAGAGGAGAGTGAATGCAGCCTTAAGTGACTTGCAAAGAGAAAGGGGATTGAAGGAGTTTCTTGGAATTACTCCAAGTTGAGTTTATCAAAACTTGTTAATGAAACTTTCAACAGCATTCTAGTTCACCTTCTTTAGGTTTAATTATTACTCTTTATCTACTTGAATTTATCTATAAACGTCATAGCTGAGGTGGAACTGGAGTAGTGCTTTGGCAGCTGAGGGAAGAGATCTAGGTAACTTGGGTAGGCAATGTGTTCTGTCAGGTGAAGGAGTTGGAAGAAATTTATGAGTGTTCAAATTTGAGAAGTTTGTCAAGAAGTCTGGCTGGGATGCTCATTTGTCACCCTGAAACAGAAAGAATTATATTCATCTGAAATGAAGAGTAATTTCCGTGGGAAGGCTGGCTGTGAGAATTGCTCTCATGACTTCCTGATGTCGTCTTAAGATGTAAAAGTAACTTGTTACTTGTCACAAAGTTACAGTAAATAACTGCTTTTTCTTGTCTGCTAGATAAACCACTCATAAAGTTGTATTCATTTTTGCATTCTATCCTCTTGCAGCTTCAGGGATATAGTGTGGATTTCTGAGTATAGTTTTATTTGTTGGTAAATGTGCTGTCCTGTACTTCTGTCCCCCTGAGGTTGCTCAAAGTCAACCATAAAGTGCTCATGGATGAGGGGGTTGATCTTTATTTCCAGGTGCATCAGGTGGTTTTGTGAAGGGTATCACAGCTGTTGAGTGTTACTTAAGAACATCCATAGTAAAACCTAACAATTGTTCTTGCAGGCAGGAAGTTATGTTCGTGATGATGCTGTTCCAAATCTGATCCAGTTAATAACTAATAGTGTGGAGATGCATGCCTACACTGTGCAGAGACTCTACAAAGCCATCCTTGGAGATTACTCCCAGGTAAAAACAAATGTGGCCAGCTTCAGTTTAGTTGTTGCACTGCAGTAATTATGCATGTTTACTCAGCATCTCAGAGAAAGCTCATATCACATTGTCTGGCTCCAAGGGAGAGACTGCTGAGCAGGCATGTCTTCTATAAGTTTATGTTCTTTTTAGTTTTTCCAATTCTCTTGTGGAATTCTTGATTGAATCAGATACTCCTCTTTCTTCTGCTGTGGAAGGCTAGGCTTACTCCTGGACATGCGGACGGTTTAAGTTATGATGCAGGCAGCCATTTATCACTGAGCCTTTGATTTTTCCTCCAACAGCAACCCCTGGTACAAGTTGCCTCCTGGTGCATAGGAGAGTATGGAGATCTTCTGGTGTCTGGTCAGTGTGAAGAGGAGGAACCAATACAGGTATAGCTTGGGAAAGAACTGCAACTGGATGCCTGGCTGAGGCTGGACGCACTTGATGCTGGCTAGGTGAAGGGCGCGCTTTCAGCAGTTCCCTAGCACAAATGTCCATGATGGTAATGCCCTGGACAGGAATCTCCTTTCTCTGCTGCAGGCATGGACTGTGTAAACACTGGACATGTGGAGTGCTGCTACAACTGACAGAATGATGTGGTTTCAGTGCTAACTGATTTGGAAGAAATCTGCTAGGGTCTTAGCGGTGTATTTCAGTGATAAACCTGCTCTTCAATGTGTGAAACAGGAACTGTATTTCAAAACTCACACCATAAGATCTCCTCCACCTGGATGCATGTCTCTCACACTCTGAACATAATGCTATAGGCTCAGAGTTGCCGAGGAGGTGTGACATGGCCATTAGGCAAGAGACAGGTTTTTACAGTATATGCTGGGAGGCTTGCTATAAGCTTCTTTCTGTTTTAGCCTGACCTCGCTGTACCTTTTCAGGTAACAGAGGATGAAGTTCTTGATATTTTAGAAAGCATCCTGATATCTAATATGTCTGCATCTGTGACACGAGGCTATGCTCTCACTGCCATCATGAAGCTTTCAACAAGGTTCACCTGCACTGTCAAGTGAGTTCCCATTGGTGGTGTACTGCACAGGGCTTTGTTGCAAATATACCGACATCAGTTGTCTTCAGTAGGAGTATTCCTTGAACATGTTCTACTTGCGTGATTTACATGAGTCATCATGTTATTTGTTGGCTTTTACAGTCCTCCTTTACTCGCAGGGTGGAAGATGTCTGCTGTGGGTACTGTTTTCTCTAGGGTTGCCCTCTGTGTGGGGACTTAATCCATGTTGCTAGTTCTTGAAAACTCCTTATGGGGAAGATAAGTCTGTACTTTCAGTGGACCGTTCTTTCCAGTTCCTTTTTTGGATGATGGAGAGAAAAATAGCCTTGTTTCTTGTTGGACACTTCTCAGTGTGGGTAGTTGAGCTTTTTTATGCTATACCCTGAGGTGGTGTATTAAGTTGATGCTTTTGTGAAGGGACAGTTCATATATGGATGTTACATGGATAGTGCTGTTTTACATGAGTTACATGAGACTCCTGTTGAACAGAGACTAGGTACCATCTTCAGGATGACCCTTGCTTATTGCTGCTAATTCCATGATGTGTTTGTTTTCCCTTGCCCCCAACAGCCGCATTAAGAAGGTGGTTTCCATCTACGGCAGTAGCATTGATGTGGAGCTACAACAGAGGGCTGTGGAATATAATGCACTTTTCAAGAAATATGATCACATGAGGTAAGTGCCGATAGAGATTTGATGTTTGAAAAGGATCATTATCTGTTCTGATCTCCTGTGGATGACAGTGTACTGGACTCAGTGTACTGAGAACTTTGGTGATTTTTGTTCGGGTTACAGGGGAACCAGAATCCCACTCCTTCTACCAGGTTAGCGAGTGTTTTAAGGACTTAATGTATCCTGTGTTATTATTCTGTGATCAGAGACTCTATCTGCCAAAGCATTTGTCCTGCTTTGAGCCTGAGCTTGTCAGGTACTGGGGGGAAGCAGGAGACAGGAAGGCTTGTTTGTCTTTTAGCTATCAACTAGTGTATTTACAGTGGCACAGAATGCCAGGGATTGCTTCTGACCACCTGAAACTGTCATGCAGCCTTGCAAATCTCCTGTATTGGAGCTCAAGGGAAAAGGCAGGTTGTCCCATATATGAGCTCTTGAATGTCTAAGTATTTGGATTGAGATCCAGGAAGATGGCACAGTGTAACTATGTCAGCTTCTTTCAGGCCAGCACTGCTTGAGAGAATGCCAGTAATGGAGAAAGTCACCACAAATGGCCCTGCTGAGATTGTACAGACCAATGGAGAGACAGAGACGGCAGTACTGGAAACCAAACCTCCACCCTCTGGATTGCAGCCTGCCAACCAGGTAATAGAAACTGACAGAGGATAAACTTCCACTGCTTGTCAGATCATGTTTCAGCCAGTGCCAACAGCAAACTGAGACCATCTCCCTCACTCTCTCTGCTTCTTTGCTGTTTCTCACTGATGATGATCGTATCATTGCTCTGCTCTGGTGGCTCTGCTGCCCAGAACAGGCGTGTGGGACAGGTCCTTGTAGGCTGTTCTGGAGCAGAGTGGGATTATCTCAGTTTGTTATGGTGCTAATAATGCCAAGGTTGTGTGTTTGATCCCCTTATGAGCCATTCACTTTAGAGTTGGACTCAATGATTCTTGTGGGTCCCTTCCAACTCAGAACATTTTGTGATTCCCCAACATGTCTTAGTGTGCATGAACCTAGTCCTTCCCTCAGGATATTCCAAGTCCTTCCCTATCTCTTCCATCCCTCAAGGATGGAAACTAGATTTCTTGTGGAGCATGGATCACAGTGAAACTAAGAACCCCTCTAACTAGCCATCAGCTCTGGTGGTCTTTAGTTTGAGAACAAGTAGAATACACTGCATTTGCAAGGGAAAGTAGCAAAACGTTGAATATTTATATTATATCCACTCTCTCATTAGGCAAATGATTTATTGGACTTGTTGGGGGAAAGTGATATAACACCTGTAATTCCCACTGCACCTACAATCAAGCCAGCCTCTGCTGGTGGGGAGCTGCTTGACCTCCTGGGAGATCTCAACCTAACAGGTGAGCAGGCTGCATTTCTTAGAAGTCTATATTCTCATCCCTGGGATGGGATGAGGGTGGGCTACTTCTTCATTGTCTTTAAAGTCCTAGTTTTTACACTTACTCATACCAAGATCCATATTAGTGTACAGGTGGGAGTCAGTGATGAAGTCACAGGTTGATTCTGCATGATTAGCTGCTGAGACTTGAGAATTTTCACACCTGAAAGGTTGTGAGCCTTTCCAGAGATGTGAGGAATGAATTCCATTTGAATGCTTGCTAGTGCAATAGGAGCCAGTTCTTGAAAGCAAAGAAGGGGAGGATGACAACACAGGCGATTTATAGAGCTTCATGTAAAGAAATACAATATGCAGCACTCAGTCTTCTGTGAAGGAATAATTACTCTTCATTTCCTGACAGCAAAGAATTAATCCTTCAACATTTCTTGTAGGTTCTCCAGTATCTGCCCCTGCACCCCAGATAGCACAGCCTCCGTTCCTGCTCGATGGACTTACATCTCAGCCTCTCTTCAATGATATTGCTGCAGGTTAGGGACATGTAAATTCTTTGCCTAAAGCGCCCCAACATCCAACTAGAAGAGGAAAGAAGCAAAAGAAAAAAGAAAGGCGGGGGGGGGGGGGGGGG